CTAACTCAGATACTACTCTACCAGGCCCTTTTCCCATCTAGAGACCAGGTAGTGACTAACCAAATCACCTTGTGAGATTGACCCCTGATCCCTGCTTAGAAAGAATCTTGGGGTGTTTACATGAAAGAGCAAGGTGCCTAGCCTGAAAGGGAGGTTGGAGATGTCAAGATCCAGTTGAGACTGCTGCAGAAGACTGAGTTTAGGGCTGTCCCTCACGCTGCTGCTATTTTTCAGGGATTTGATGAAGATGCGGATGGACACTGTGATACAATTGTTGCAGTGGCAGAGGTTATTAAGCTCACAGACCCTTCTCTGCTTTACCTAGAAGTCTCAACTCTGGTCAGCAAATATCCAGACATCAGGTAAAGGCTGAGTATCTTCCAGCAGCAAGTAGTACAACAAGCTATGTCTACTACCCTTAGGAAGATGAGCTGTGAGCATCAGGAGTTAGACAGTACATGCATCCCAACTGGATGTGAAGAGAAAGGTTGTCAGGACTGTGGTGGTGTGGCTGCACCAAGGCGTCATCTGTGCAGCCTTCGATCAGCCTTATCTGATGTTATCAGAATCTGGCTGGGGTTTGTACACCTACCTTATATCCGAGCTTTTGTGCCTGAGTGGGTGGTGGTTAGAAGGCAAGCCTAACTGTACAAGATAGGAAAGTGTTGCTGAGAAGAGATGCCATGACCACAGCAATTCTTATTAAAAGGAAAACATTTAATTGGGGCTAGCTTACAGTTTCAGAGGTTTAGTCCATTATCATGGTAGGGATTGGTGGCATGCAGACAGACATGGAGAACGAGCTGAGAATTCTACATCTTGATCCACAGACAGAAGCAACTCTCACTGGACAGTGTAGCTTGAGCATAGGAGACCTCAAAAACCACCCCCAAAGTGACACATTTCCTCCAACAAGGCCATACCCCCTAATAGTGCCACTCCCTGTGAGGCCATTTTCTCTGCAACCACCACAGGAAGGACTGAGTATTGCATCTTTGATGAGTGGAGAGGGGAAGGTTGTCATGACTGGAGTGGTCTGAAAGGTGATCTAAAGAAGGAAGCTGACCTATCGTATGTGGCCAGGACTTCCTTGAATATATGTGTACTCAGTATCAGGCTGAGGGAATGGGTATCTGCTCCGTGTCCCTCTATGTGCTGTATTGGCTTCAGGCCCCAGGCCCTGCCTTTGTGACCTCCATTCCAGGAACCTGCCATTTTCTCCAAGGGTGAGCATGGCTAAAGTGCCTCATTGCCACTCTTAGAAGAACTAGAGTCCTAAACCCTCCAGAGTCACCCTTCCCAGTTTAGGCAGTCTTGACACCAGTAGTTAGAAGAGCAGAATTTTAAAAGTGCTTTGCATTTTGCAGAGAAAAGTAAGATGACATTTTGGGTATCTCATTCTATAAAAGAAGAGATGCCCTTTGTGACTGTCGGTACCTTACCCTGTGGGTGGCACCTGTGCAGACTGAGGGAACTGAGAGAAGGTAGAAGCTCATGCTGATTTCTCCCCACAGAGACGACCACATTGGTGCACTGTTGGCAGTGCGAGGAGATGCCAGCCGAGACATGAAGCAGACTATCATGGAAACGCTGGAGCAGGGCCCCATGCAAGCAAACCCCAACTACGTACCTATCTTCAAGGAGATCGTTGTGCCGAGTCTGAATGTGGCAAAACTCCTTAAGTAGCCCTGTCCTCCACTGCCTCATTTGTCTTCACTGTGGGGCTTCATGTTGCCACCCTAAGAAGCAAATTTATTAAAACAAAAGTCCTTCTCTGGGTGCGCCATATAATGTCAGTTTCGCATGCCTGTCTTCTGTGTTGTCATACTATTCTCTACTATAAAACCCTCTTGGTCACTTATGTCATTGTGAAAATATGTGTAGTGAACATCACTTGTCCTTCCCCACTGAGGTCTTGCTCTGCTTAGTTAACACACTTTGACCCTCTGCCACTTAATTAAAGGACAGGAAAGCAAGAGAGCGTCTCATTCTTAGTTGTAGGTTGTTCTGACTGGTTGTGATACTGCCATGTCCAGAAGCTACAGGTCATCAGATCTCAGCTGACCTGTGAATAGTCTTGAGCAGACTCTGGGACCAAGTTCTACCCTGGCCTTTCTGATTTTCTGGCTGTCCCTAGACCAGCTGCTCAGTCCTCTTGGCAGGGGAAAAAACAAAACAAAAACCTCACCTGCTGAACCAGTGAGCCCCACCCAAGTGAGCACAACCTCATATGGGCTGAGTGCCATCTGGGTCAGTTATACCAAGAGGATGAAAATTGTTATAAATAAAAATTTGGGGTCAAAGTAAATATGAAAATGAGTATTTAAAATATGTGTTAGGATAGCCAGGCAGTGGTGGTGCATGCCTTTAATCCCAGCACTTGGGAGGCAGAGGCAGGAGGATCTCTGTGGGTCCGAGGCCAGTCTGGTCTACAAGAGCTAGTTCTATGTCAGGCTCCAAAGCTACAGAGAAACCCAGTCTCAAAAAACAAAAAATAAGCAAACAAAGATGTATATTGTGTGCTTATTTGTGATCCAGAGTCCCTACACTTCTCTCCCTAATTTAGCCAGCCAGTGTTGGCTGCAGTGGTGGCATTATTCTGCACATTAACTTTAAGCTAATTAATAAGATTATATTCAGAATAAATAATGGACCCTATGTCTTGTGGACATGGTCCTCAGAAGGTGGTCTGCTTACTTGTTACCTGAGGGAGAGATGATGCCTGGGTCACCTTGCCCACAACTCTCCATTTACATAGATGGTTTGCTCTCCTCCTTTTTCTTAAACAATGATGGAAAGCCTGGTAGGGCCTGTCTATCTGCTGAGCTTCATACCACACGACCACCTAATACTATATTTTCTTTCTACTTTTGATGGTAGTGTTAATATTCTGCTTTTATTTCATTCTTACAAGGTATCAACAAAATTCACAAGTAACTTTTTTTATATGTGGAACTAAGTAAAAAGAATTCAGGAGAGACATGGATTTCCTAGAGCGTCTGGCTGGTATGTGTTGATCCAGGACCTGCTCAAACATCTGTTCAATGTGAATGACAACTGGGGAGTGCTCATTAAATGTGCACTGAGAAGTATTGATCAATAGCAATGACACTGTAGTGACAGATTTCTCACTGCAGGCTACTGCTACTGGGTGCCTGGGTAGGCATTAAGATGACCACGGAATGCCTATGTGGTTAAGCCCATTTGTCTCTCTGACCCTGGAGGTCAACAGATAACAGAGGAAATCATGTTCTTGAGCAGTGGGTATTAGGATCATGGAGACAGGCTAGGGAGCTAGAAGTCAAGGGGTGGTAACATGCTATATCCCAGTGGGTAGACGGTGACAGTCATGATACCAGGGGAAGGTGGGACCTTTTTAGAGGACGGCTATGTACAAGATTGGGTAGGCTGTTCCAGTGAGTAGATAGTGGCTACATATACGAACTTTATAATGTCTGCTTCCTGAGCAAGATGTAGGGCTGCGGTCTACCAGACAGGGAAGTGTTTTGACAGAGAACACTCACCAGGTATTAGTTTCATCCTCAATGAACTGTTGCCCTATGAAAGGATATCTTCCAAATTAGCAAAGTCCCTTGATTGTTGGCTGTCTTAGTCACTGATTCTTTTGCTGTGAAGAGACACCATGATCAAGGAAACTCTTACAAAGCATTTAAATGGGAGCTTGCTTACAGTTTCAGAGGTTTGGCCCATTATCATGACAGGAAGCATAGCAGTATGCAGTCAGGTGCTCTCAGTAGCTGACTGAAGCTTTATCCTGATCTGTAGTCAAAGAGGAAGAGACTCTGGGCTTGACAAAGTCCACCCCCACCCCATGAGACACTTCCTCCAACAACACCGCCACACCTCCTAATCCTTTCAAATAGTTGTACCCCCTGGTGACTAACAATTCAAATATGTGAGCCTATGTAGGCCATTCTTACTCAAACCACCACATTTATTTATTTTTATTTATCTAGAATGAGTAGATGTCCCAGGTCATGATGGGTCACCAGTGAGAAGCAGCTACCAGCTATCCTGCTTCCCTCACATCTGTTGATGCACAGTTCATTTGCTAGGTGAGGATCCTCTAAAGAAGGAAAGGGTAGGCAGGCGTCCTTGGCACCTGGGTGCAAGTGTCCAGAACCAGGCCCCCTCAGCAGGCTTTTAAACTAGAGTGCAGGAAAAGCTGAACAAGCAGAGCTACCTTGGCTCTCTTCCTTTCATACTTCAGTGGAATGAATTGTGACCCCTAAAAAGAAAAATTAAGGTCTTAACCTTAGAACCTTAAATCAGACTTGGGTTGAAAGTAGAATCCTTGCAAGTGTGATGTATATCAAGGTTTTAATGAAGTCGCATGGGAATAGCGTGAGTACTTGAGTGGCAATGCCAGGAGCCCTTAAAGCCAAGACCTTCCTGACCTGGCCTTCAGATTTCTGTCTCTACAGCGTGAAACAGACTTTATGAGTTACCCAATCTGTGCTCTTTGCTAGTTTACCCAGTATGTCATATATTACTTAACAGTTGAGGCTCCTCTTGTATATAGCCAAAATCTGGGGATTCTGAATGCAATTTTTTAAATAATATTTTTAAATTAAAATAAAGATGTGTTGTAGAACCTGTAGACTTGATGTTTAACAGACTCCACCACACATCTCTGCCTTGTACTGTCTGGTCTCAACCCACCAGATTTGGTGCCCTTTCTCACCATTCCTTCCCACTCACCCACTTTGGTGTCTCTAGCACCTCAACCAACTTCTTAGCCATGGTGGGTGATGTTTCAATCATCCACTGCCCGTTTGGCCACAGGAAGTCTCTGGTCTATTTTATATCTAAGAGATGCTAAATTGGAGGCTTTCCATAAATGTATCCAACAGCTTCCCACCCCTAATAGGATGACCTCCGAAACACCATCTGTTGATCTTAATTTTAATGCATAACAGACTGTTCCTAAATTATCTTGGATATGATATTTCATTTATAAATGAAGTTTGCACCCAGAATGCCTTGAAATATTTTAATAGACTTAGATAAGCAGTCACTACAGTTTCAATGTTGTTCCCTGTACAGATGCTGCCCAATGCATTGGAGGGGCATTTTAAGGCACATTATTCTGTGATCAGAATTAAACAAAGTTCAACTATGATTATGTTCACAACATTAATACACAGTTTTATCCTCTCAAAATATATTTCTAGTTTTGATGAAATCTTTAAATTTTCTTTCACAAAAAAATCAGTAATACATAGTATATTGAACACTGTAATAAAATTATTTTAAAGAAAATACAGATGTGGAAATACAAATTTCCTAAATTTGTATACTCTGTAGTACCACAAAGTAGGTCAAAGTTCAGTATTAAATAAATATTCTCTCCTAATAAAAAAACTTTTACAACAGTTTTCCTAAGGAAATACATTCATAGGATTTTACATTCTATTGTACAACACTTACAAAGGGGGGGGGTCCTCAACTATGAAACGTAGCTACTGTGCTTAGTCATCTAAGCACAGGAGATGGGTTTTTGCGAATGAGGCTTTCCTGTCAAAACTCTGGTTCCATGTGGCTATGCCCAGGTGTAGTTCACAAACTCAAAGAACGTAGCCTGTCAGCTAAAACACAGGGACAGAATGTAAAAAGATTTATCACCTGGTTGCTAGCTTTGGTATCTGTGGATGTCTGTTGCAAGGTGACAGCCCCTGAGGCACTGTCTAGTCAGACTTGGCTTCTAATTCTGCAGTGGGAATTAGACCCCATGTCCAACACATCAGGTGGTGGGTTAAGGCAATGTCCTGGCACAGGCATGAGAAACTTGTCTGCAAAGCAGGGACTGACAGGTGCCTCTCGGGACACCTCTGTTCCAGTAGCCCGGCACAGCCGACTACTGTACGTAGTGGAGTGGCAGCTCCAGAGCGTCTCGTGAAATTATTGGCCACAGCATTCACTGTCCAGTGGCTGGACTTCATTTCAGAAGTGGTCAAAATGCTTCAAGGGAGAAGGCTGTGAAAACCAGGTTGTGAGCATCTGATGGCTGAGTCTGAGTTAGCCAGTCAACAGTGTACCGACAGATGGGCTCATTTGGGGAATGATACTCTGAAGCAGAATACAGCATGTTGCGCGAATTTACTTTGTATTCATTGATTTTCCCTCAATTTGTGAATAGGAAATTGTCCACGCTTCCTATCCATGCTTCAACTGCAGCGTTAATACAAACTGATGGACCGTCTTGGGACTCCTGTGAATGTAACTGTCAACCTTGTTCCTGAGACACAGTATTTAGTTTCCTGAGCAGAGAGCTGAGTGGTTTGTGTCAGAAGTCTCCAGGAGGTCCCTAAATCCACCTTTAGCCTCATCTCAGCCTCCTTCAAGTGAGATCCTACGGTGCAGGCCCAATTTCCAGTGGACTGGAAGCAAAACTCAGTCCAGTCAAGCCCACTTGACTTCTGAGGAAAGGTGATGAGGGATGAGGGCCCTCCCTCTTAGCACTCCTGAGGGACAGTGCTCTAAGCCTGAGGCCCTGAGGTCCTGGAGGCAAAGGAGAAATGCCTAGACAGTGGGTTCCTGTATGCCCTCCTTCTAAGTGATGTAGAGCCCCTCTATGTCCCCAGCCCAACCAGCCTGGCCATCTGCAGTATTCCCACCTTAGAGACAGCTCAGGCAAGACACCTTGTGTGGGGGGGCAAGGCCCAGGTTGGGAGGGACCGAACAGGGGAAGTCCCTTGAGCTAGAGGAGCCAAAATTGAAACAAATATTTCTGCAGTTGATTCTTCAAGGTGGTTGAACAGTCTGGAGATCTTGGAAGGGGGTCTAAAGGGCCTCAGAGGCGTGTATCCCTGGAAATGCACAGGAACCTGCTGCCCATTTCGGATGAGTCTGAGCTTGGTAGTGCAACTTCCACAAATATTAATTTGTAAGACCATTGTACTAGAGAGTGAGAAGAGGTCCATCACAGGCCTCTCAGGGGTCTTCCTCCTCTTTGAGTAAGAGTGGTAAATACTTAAATACTAACAAGTGCTCTCGTGTGTGTGTGTGTGTGTGTGTGTGTGTGTGTGTGTGTGTGTGTGTGCGTGTGTTGGGGGGATTGGGGGTGCAGCACCTCGGAGCAATAGGGACTGAACCAGGGCAAGAAAACGGCGGAGGCAGTGTGGTATCCTGGGAATGCCGGAGGATGAAAAGATTCTTCCTAGGGCCAGACTAGGCATAAGACTCCCAGAGAGCAGTGGACCCTAAGGAACCCTAGCGGGTTGGGGAGGGGCCACTGAAGGAGATTCTCGGAGCTGGCAGCTGGCCAGGCAGCTGGCCAGGCAGCAATCACAAAGGCGTCTCTTCTTGCTCCAGAGCATGTGGAGGCAGTTCAGTAGAGCCCGGAAGAGACGCGAGCTTAAGGAGAGCTGGGCGGCGGCGTGGGCGAGGCCTCTGGAAGGAGCGCCGGCTGTGTACACGGCGCGCAGCCGCAGACCGAGCGTGCGCACTGGGCAGGGCCCGGTGCTCTGGCTCCGTCCCGGGTTCACCGGAGGTGAAAGTACCAGACGAGACGCGCTCAGGTGGGACGGGGCTCGGGGCACGTGGGCTAGCGAGCCGTGAAGGGAGCAAGGGCTGCTGGGCAGCTGCGGATGGCCAATGCGGATACAAGCTTCCCGTAAGCGGTGTGTCAGAGCCAGTGTTACCTGCGGGAAAACAGGGTGTGAGTGGCTCTCAGTCCAGAGAAACAGTGACCTACAGAAACCTGTACTCAGCCCAAGAGTCCCTTCCCCCTGATTTTGCTGTTCCTCTGTGCCTTGCCCCCAACTAGGTACCTGCTACAGTGCAAGGAGGGACTCCCTAACCTTCCACACCAAATGTCAGGGCATTTTCTGCTGTACACTACTGCAGAGTTGCAGGGAGTTCTAGCCAGTGTCAATGAACCTTCTAGGCAGCTGTGCACCTGTGCACCACGCAGCCAGCAGATCTGGATCACTTCAGATCTCTTCTGGCACTTGCAAACTCTGCCTTTAATAGCTGCCCCCTCTACAGGAACATCAGTGTCATACCCACCCCCAGGTTAGTAGTACTCCTCTACCCCAGAAACCTATCACAAGCACAAGGCTCTGCTTCGAATCAGGAGGGTTTGAGAATGAGGGGGAAAGTCAGGCCTTTAATCCCAGAACTTGGGAGGCAGAGGCAGGCATATTTCTGAGTTTCAGGACTGCCTGGTCTACAAAGCTAGTTCTAGGACAGCCAGGGCTACACAGGGAAACCCTGTTTTAAAAAGGATTGGAGAAGGGGGAATAAGGCCAGAGACAGAAGCAAGGAGCAGGTGGAAGAGCACTGGGGCCATGCAGATTTCCTGACCCTGCTAAATCATTTCAAAACTGGATTCTCTTAGGAAAGAGCCGTGTGTGTGTGTGTGTGTGTGTGTGTGTGTGTGTGTGTGTGTGTGTGGTGATGCCAGACCTTGCCAGGAATGCTGACCAGAATTTCCAATTTTTACAATTGAGTGTTTCATTTCTTTCCAACTAGGCTGACAAATGTCACCAGACCAAAAACATAACCAAAAAAAAAAAAAAAGCACTTTCACACTTTCACTTTCATCTGAAATGAACGTGAGACCTGACCACAGGATACTTCAGTGTTGCTCAGGCTGACCTCAAACCCTTAGTCCTCCTACCTGTCTCTTGTAAATGTTGGGGTTATAGACATATACCACCATGCCAGGCCTCAAATGTTTCTCTCTACTACATATTAGCTAGAGAAGCAGACACAAATGGAAGTTGTCCATCAGTCTCCTAAGAAATATACAGCTGGACAGATGACCAAGACAAGGTCCACAGCGTGAAGAAAGCTGCTGGAAAGTCTGAAAAGGTGCGGGTCCAGGAAAGAGTCCGGAAAGCAATAGCTGGGAAGAAAGCAGGTGTTAGAGGAAGAAGCCAGTTACATGTGTGTGGACTCAGGGAAAGCGGGATGGAGCTGTTCCTCGGGGCCATCAGCCAGCAGGAAGGAGTCCACTGATTTGTTGCTGAGGCGGAATGGTGTCAGACGGCGGAAGTTGCTGGGAGAGTTGGGAATCTGGAAACGGGCCCTCTGAGAGGGCACCACGGTCTCCCCAGGGGACAGCCAGGGTGGCACCCTGGATAGGATGCTTGGGTCCAGGTCCTCGTCAGGGGAGAACACGGGATTATCAATTCCTAAGAGAAAGGGCAGCTGGTCAACCTCTAAGAAGTTCCCTCCGGGGTAGAAGGAGGCTGAGGGGAGAGGCTCTATACTGTGACTGTGCCGACACTTCTTGTGGCTACCACCTTCAGGGTAGCCTGGATGGCCAGACCTAGACACCTAACCCTCATCCCACACCTTTCCTCCACCTTTGAGACCCCATACAACCCAGACAAGATGGGAAACATCTCTCCTCTTTCAGACCTGGCCTATTTTTCCAAATATACTTGCTGTCTGCTCTGGGGCGAAATCTAAGTGGAGGAGGTAACACTTCCAAGACCTATAGTAAGTCGTCCCCGCCCCCCCCCCCAGGCCTTTGGTTCCTCCTTCAATGGCTCACTTGGGACAGCAGGGACATCTCTTCCACCAGCTTCTCCTATCTCACCTGCCCCAGATTCAGAGGTTACATCCTTGGTGACATTGGCCAGAAACTCAATGCCCCCCGTGGTCTCTTCATAGTTGGTGGTCTCCTCAGGCTCTGAAAGTTCTAAATCTGGATAGCAGAGGGAAAAATATTTTGGGTAAGGATGACTCGAGTTCTTTATGGCTGATGATATTCCCCCCACACACACACACACACGCAGTTTTCCACAGAACCTAACCAGCCCAGTGTCCAAGTGGCTGGGGTCAGCTGTGTAAAGACCTGAGCCACTCCTATGGTGCTCCCTTTTGTGACCCCAACCAAACTTGGTCTTTGGGAAGGTCTATTGGACAGGAGGGGCTGGAACCTCAAGGCTTACAATGAAAAAAATGGTGAAAGTCCACTATCTTTTAAAGAAGATTGTGTGTGTGTGTGTGTGTGTGTGTGTGTGTGCGCGCGCGCGTGTGCGTGTTCAGTGTCCACGGTGGCCAGAAGAAGGCATTAGATTCCCTGGAGTTGGAGTCACAGGTTGCTTAAGCTGCCTTATGTGGGTGCTAGGAACTGAACTTGGGTCCTGTGCAAGAACAGCAGCCATTCTTAACCACTAAGCTGTCTCTCCATCCCATAGGAGGAGTGCTTCTCTATGGTACAGCAACAGGAGGGTCAGAGAAGAGCACTAATGGCCTAGTGGCACCACCACCCCCAAAACAAGGAACACGTGGAGGCCCAGGGTCAGAATCCCTAGGTACAGCTACCAGTAGGGGCAGAAGTCCCTTCTGAATTAAGCACATGCAGAGAAGCGGTCGTACCTTTCTCCTTGATGATGAAGTTGTGTGCCAGGCTCTCCATAGGCAGCTTTCCATTAGGAATGCTGCTATTCCTCTGTGGAAAAGTATGAGCTCTTACAAATGTACAAACACCCAGTTCCCCAACTTGCTGATATTTCATCTTCTGTCCTAGACCCTAACGGCCTCTGTCTGGTCACAGAACCACAGAGGGTTCTCTGACCCTTTCCAGTATTTAGAAGCCCACCCAACACTGACCCCACTGACCCCACCTTTCCTCACCCGCTTCTGTGCACGCTCCCTCTTGTACAGCTTAGCTGCCTTCTTGTTCTGGTTGATGCCTAGCTTAGCTGACTTAAAGGACTCCATGCGCTTCTTCATGGTTCTGTGAAAGATTTCCTTGTCCTGTTTTTCATCCTCATTGGGTGTTAGCTTATGCCGGCTATAGAGATGCTTGTACTGTGGGAGCAAGGGACAGTCAGTTGGGCCTGTATGGCCCAGGTGGAGTCACAAAGCCTCCAGCTCAGCCCTGAAGACCCCTTGTCTGAGAAGGAGGCAGACATTCCTGTAGGTGTGTGGTTAGGTTCCACCAGACACAGCACATGAAAGATGACAAAGGCTTACTCTGGGGGATAGGAGGGTTCTGGGTGTCTCATCTCCTGGTACCCACCTCCTGTCGAGGCTTGTACAGGTACTGCTGCAGTGTATGGTGAGTGACCATGTCCTCAGTATCACGGATGCTCCTACGCCTCTGCTCCAAGGACTGCATATCCAGGCAAACAGCGCTAACATTCTCCCTCCTGCATGGACCAACATTGAGCCAGGAGGATAGCTACACAGAGGTCTCCTGCCCTGCCTAGATACCTGGAAGTCCCTCCCCATACTCTCAGATGGTCTCCCAGGATGCCATCTACATTTCTGTATAAGGATGAATGAACTCCACTGCCACCAGTCCCCTTCCACAGCCCAACTATGCTAAGGCTCACAGTCTCTCCTAAGCACTGGAAATCTAGAACAGCCACCATCATAACAACTGGCCATCAGCTGCCCAAGGTCAGAGGGTATGAAATGCCCTTCTCCTAAGTACACCACACAGTCCCACTGACTGCTGAGTAAAGGTGTGCTCCCACAGATGGGGATGCAGGCATATTTCTGTACCCTTTTCCTACCCTGGCCCACTCACACCTTCCTGACTCAGTTGCCTTAGGACCTGCAGAAAGAGTTAGTAGGCTTAAGAGTCAGGAGAGAGGTGCTTTTAAAGAGTACCCTTTCCCAGAGAAGTTTTTGAATTGATCACATACAAGAGATAGGAGACAGATGCCTCCACAGTAGATGGGCGGGGTGTGCTGAAGTCCACGTTGACCATATTGTCCATACTCGGGGAACGGATGAAGGCCAGGGACCCACGGCGCTCTCCCTATAAGGAGGACGTAGACTCCTTAGTACTCAGGGATGACCCTTAAGCATCACCTGCCACATAGAAGTCAAAAGATCCTGAGAACAAGCTCAAGAGCCCGTCAGCTCTGGGAGGTAGAGATGGAGCCCAGAGGTGGACCCTGTCCATCCTCACAGCTCAGCAAGGGCAAAGATACAGAGTAGGAGCTGGGATTAGATCCTTGTAGAGGCCACCAAAGCATCACTTGAGTGGAGCAGAGCTAAGAGTTGAGCAGACAGAATAGTAGGTAGGAACAGAATCTCTTAAAGGACACTGGCAAGTCTAGGATATCCTTACCCCCACTTGAAGATTGGCAAGAAATAGTTTTGTCCCCACCACAGCCACCAACCCACAGGCCTTAGTTTGGATGCAGAACAAAACCACACAGAACAGAGCTAGACAGCAAGCAGAATCACTGGAGGATAGAGAAGCTGTTTCCTAGTTAGGGACTGAACCAGCAAAGTGAGAGGCTTCTGAGGATCACAGACAACAGTAAACTATGGCCTCAGGTAGAGTCCCTGGGGGACAGCTTGTGCCAGGGTTAGAAGGGTGATGGCCTTAATTATGTCAACACATCATTGTATTTTACAGTTTGCGAGGTTCTCTCTTGGGAGCCCTTCAAAGAGGGCAGGATTGTGTGGCTGTTCTTGGGACTTGGCTTGGACTGCCTACTCCAAGGTATTTGGCATATCACTGATATGAGCTGGGGCTTTTTGGTCATTTTATTCCAAACCCATTGTTGTTTGTATTCTTTTTTTTGTAATTCATCCTCCTCAGGTGTGGGCAGTGGTCTCTCCCATATCATCATTGATACCAGGCACTCCTCCTCTCAAGGGGATATCAGGAAAGAAGTCAGGCGACCCTTAGGTCAGAGACAGAGCTGAAATGGTGGTGGTTCCTGGTCAATGATGGGAGACAAAAATCAAGGGATGGGGAAGGGATGATATAGACAAAGTAACCATGTAAGACTTGGAGCCATCTCTCCCAACAGTGATGAGAAAGCTGTCACAAAGCTCAGACATTCTGGCTGGTGCAGTCAGGAATAGGAGTGAGGCTTAGGGTCCTGCCAGTGTGAAGACAGAGATAAAGAGCCTCTCAGAGATAAAGTGACAAGTGAATGCTACCAGAGACCTCACCCCACACTTTCATTCTTATCCTCCATCCATGGCATGGTGTTAGAGGCACCCAGTGTCATAAAAGGTTGGAATTCTTTGTAAGTTCTGCCTAAGAGAGGAGGCATCTCAGATTGAACACCACAATATTATTTGAGTGGCAACAGCCATGAGGTCATAGGGTGCCTGGTTGGACCTATGTCTATATATAAAGGATGCTAAGGGGCCCAGATAGGGATGGGTGGGTCAAGAATGCACTAGCCACAAGATAGTCACATATGTGTCATTGGAGCAGCTAATATGAATGTGTACATGTGTGTTTGTGTTATATATGTGTGTGTATATATGTATACACATGTGTTCATAAGTAAACATGTATGTATGTATGTATGTATGTGTGTGTATGTATGAGGACACATGTACCTGGATATGTATATGTTCAGCATTCCTGTATATTTGGGTGTGCATGTATAAGCCATGTGTACGCATTTGTGTATGCTCATGTAAGACTGCTTGCTCTTTAAGGTTGTCAGCCAGGAAGTAGCTACCAACTTGTTGCTGAGTACAACATATATGTGTGAATAGGTAGAAGACCTGGGCCCATAGTCTCTATTTCCCAACCTTTTCCCTTTTCTTCAGGAAAAATACAGGCATTCAGACTCCTCTATCATGGCTACCATGTTCAATTCTACCAAAACCACAATATCTAGACAGTCACTGTACCAGTGCCTCTGATTCCTGAGTGACAGGGAGCTCTGATATGCCCTATTCCCAGAGTACAACTCCAGGCCTCACATGAGCTTTTGCAGTGAGCCATCCAGGCATAGAGCGCAAGGGTCACTCACCACTGCCCTCTGCTCGTGCCCTAGACCACATGTATTGTCTTATTTGAGCCCTCAACTTTAGCAAAGGGACACATAGGATAATCACGCACCTCAGCCACGTAGCTAATGGCATCCTTCAAATTCAGTTCATGGAAAACATTCAGAATCCGATCTCGAGATTTTTGAGCCGATCTTCTCATGAGGACTTTGCTGAGGAACTTCCTATCAAAATTGGACCACCTAGGGGACAAAATCACATCAGCACTGGGAGTCTGGGGCTGCCTGCTTCACGGGAACAAGAACAAGGTCAGAACAGGTAAATGTCTGCCAGAGCTAGGCCCAATATAGGATCAGTCTTTTTTCTCCTGGTTTTTATTTATTGTAACAACCTGAAAGTGAGTTTTAAAGTGAAAGGGTGTCAGGCCACCTCTGGTCTCACTCTTTGCTTTCTCCCATTTGACAGTGGCTGGCAGTGGAACCATATGCCATTCTCAAGTCACCTCCTGACCTTCCAGGTGTGTGGGGACAGGACTAAGATTAAGACACCAGCAGCCATAGTTCCAATTCCTGATACATCACTGTCTAGGGTGCAATATTCAAGTTAGCTCTGCAACCTCACATGGACTCTAGGTAATTATCTCAAAACAGGTATTAACAAGTGTGAATTCAATGCTTTGGTCATATACTTCTAAGAACCACTTTATGTGGTAAAATATACATGATTTCTGTTTCATGAACAAGATAATTTTAGATATATATATGAACACACCTTTCCTCTATTAATGAAATAGGGAAGTGATTTGTTTTTCTGGTTTTTGATTCCTACATTATTTAAGTTTATCATTAATTGGTCAGTTAAAGGGTGTCTTTATGACTGGGACAATCATCAGGAATAAGATTCAGGTCCCTGGATTGGTGGTTGCTCTGTTCTCTCAGTTAATATTAACTTTGTTTTTCATCTGCTCGCACCCAGGAGTCTAGTTCACATTTAAGCCCTTAACCTGGGAGTGGAAGACACCTGACAAGGTGTCCATGGTTTGACCTCTGTTTATTCTTTACAACTCAGTTTGTCTCTGGCTCTTTTGAATGGAGAGGTCCTCCAGAGATTGTGTCTTGTGGGTCTTAAATTATGGTAGCACAACTGATGTGGTCTCCAGTGTTTTAGTGGCCCTGTCGGCACACGCAGGACCCACAGGTTCGAGTGGTCACTGGTAGAAGAAGGAATCTTACAGCTTAAGCTACTTACTTATCTCTGAGATAATTGTGTCCAATTTGTCCTGAGATATCCTCAATGGCTGAGAGGATGTGGTCAAAAGCCTTTCAGAGGAAAGAAACGTCATTGGCCACCCATCCTCACCCTCAGCCTACCCTTAGCTGCGCCTCCCCTGGCCGTACACTCCCACCCTCTCCTTACCCGGCCGTGTAGCTTCTCGTTGAGCTTCGGCTCATGCTGCTCACTCCTCTTCACTTTCAGCCACTGCACCAGGGGCTTAATGGTCAGGCCCTGAAAGACAACCTCACTAATGGAGCCAGGCAGGATCCCCACACCACCCCCGCCCCCAGGGCCCGCTAAACACAAGCCAGACAGACATTCAATCTCTTCTCCCACTGTAGGCAATCCAGGGATCCATGAACCCATTGGCACTGCCCTATAAAAAGATGCCCCGAAGCCCCTGTGCTGTGGATGTCCATGTAGACATCACAACCTCCAGCTGTCGCTTTGACCAGCCAGATGCAAAGGTGTAGTAGGTGCCAATTATGGTCTGACCAGTCAGCAGTCAGGAAGTAACTAGGTCTGTTCTCCTAAGTCCTGGCCAGGAAGTAACACTTTTAGGACAAATTATGCTATGTCCCCTGTGGGGCCACATGAAAACCTACAAAATGCTCCTAATTACTAAAATTACAAAAACCAATTAAAGTGTAAAATCTGGGAACAATCAACCTGCAGGGTTGCTCTTAGGTAGGTTTGGGCACCCTGAGGCAGTGCCCTGGGCAATAGGAGTCACACCTGAAAGATGACTGTGAAGAAGACCACAATGAGAGTGGTGCTAACAAACAGCTTTTTCTCCTTGACTTTTGTCTCATCCAGAAGTACCACCAAGGCATAGGCCACGGCCCCACGCAGACCACCGTAGGACATGACCACCTGGTCAATGGTCTCTAGCTGCACCATGCGGTAACGATTCAGGATCCAGGTCTGCAGAACAACACCTGTAGCGAGAGGTCACTCAGCTCCGTGGCCTATTTCCCCCAAGGCCTCACCTCAGGGCTCCCTAAAGCCGTTTTGACCCTTCCCTTGGCTGACTGTGAAAGCTGGGCAGTGGGTCTCTCCCCAAGGGCACTACTGGCTAGGGCCTCTGTAGGAAGAGGCAACAGTGCTGCTCTCACCCCAGCTTCTATTTCCAGTTCATTGATCCTGTCCCTTGGTGCCTCATTGGTCCCCATGCTGCACCTTGAGAAATACTGGCTTTTATAGAGATCAATGGTTGGATTTATTACTGAACTGCTGTGGGACCCTGAAATCTGTACTCTAAACTAAGGGAGCCTAGACACTACCATGAGTGCCCCTAACACTCACCAATGGCTCGGTATACAGAAATGAAGACCAGTGTCAGCAGCACAAAAGCCGTGTTCCATGTCCAAATGAGCGGGTCCACAGCTGAAATGCCCAGGAACATGAAGATAATGGTCTCTGCTCCACTGGCCAGCATCTTCATGGTGTAGCGCACAGTGGTGGCCGACTGCTCTGAGATATTGGCCTTCACGTACTTCTGACAGCAGATTCCACAAAAGGTGATGCTGGAGAAGGGACAGTGTGAGGTTTCCCTGCCTCTTCAGTCAGGCTGATGCCTCAGACCAGATGTCTCCAGGCCCAGCTCTTGCCATCCCTACTTCCTTTGTTGGCGTAACAGGCCTTTGCAGATGTAATCTAAAGTGGACAGTGCTGTGTTGTGTGCACACTACTCTTCCTGAGAACCAATGCCCTGAACTGGGTCTGCCCAGCTGCTTCCATGCTCTAAGACTAGATGTGGAGTTTCAACGAAGAAACAGCCTTCAAGCCTGTGGGCCTGTTGGTAGCTGATTGGTAACCAAGTCATACTATCCTTTGGAGAAGCTTGGGGCCAACTTTGGTGTCACGAAGCTCCTGCCTAAGTGTGAGGCTGCATGACAACAGAGACTCTAGTAGGGTTTCTGGTCAGACCATTCTTGAATCACAAGCCACAGCACAAATCTACCCTGTCCTCTAAGTAGGCATGTGTCTAGCCAAGGACAATTCTGAGTCTTTATCAACTTCTTATTTAAAAAAAAAATAGAGCCAAGCAGTTGTGTCACATGCCTTTAATCCTACCACTTGGGAGGCAGAGGCAGGCAGATCTCTGTGAGTTTAAGGCCAGACTGGTCTATAAAGCTAGTTCCACAACAGCCAAGGCTACACAAAGAAACTCTGTCTCAAAAAAACAAAAATTAGATTGACTTCTTTGTCCCTGACAATAAATTTCTACCCAACTATAAGAGCCATAGAGGTGGAAGCTACACAGTGGGCTTGGAATTCATGCTCCAAAGAAGAGACAGTAGGCAGGGAGCAGACTCACTGCCACAGCCCCATCACCAGGATGATGGCAAAGAACCCAATATACCCTTGGTTCACAGTGGAACCTTCTGCCAGGATGCTTGAGTGCAGGGGATCTCTGGCATATACCAGCTAGAAAGCCACCTACCCAACCCAGCCAACCGCAGAAGGTTATTCCTTGAGGGAGACTTACGCCAGGATGGCTGACAAGGACAGCATCTCGGAGGTCAGATAGGACAGGTAGGAAATGACAAAGACGAAGCCGGGCTCGATGATACGCACATGCTTGGTGAAGCGAGTCACCAAGGACAGCAGGAAGGCGAAGATAACACCCACCAGAGTCCCCCCTAGGCTCACCACGAAGAAGGACACTGTGAGAAAAAGGAATGAATTGTCCTTTGTGGTTGAAACTGACCAGGTTGGCTAGTCATTCCTCATGGAGGGCTCCTGATAACTGCTCATAGCAATGCTGAAAGTTTAGTAAATGAGGCAACTTTGCTATCTATGGAGAGAGTGTCTTGTCTTCAATTTTAGTGCAGGAGGCAGAGGACAGAGACCATGCACACAGAAGACAGGACCCCATGACATCTCTACAGCCTTGGGTCAGTAGCAAGATCTGAACCCTGTCTATCTGTCCTTGCTTAGGGAGACCTGGGGTTGACTGTCCTTATCCTTTCTCTGAAGAACACACCCCAGGACCTTCATCTAATAGTGTTTATGTGGTGTTCTGGGAAAGGAACCCAGGCTGGTAAGGAGACACCAGGATAGCAGAAGCCCCATGGATTCTGTTCTAAAGAGGAGACAAGCCTCTGTATTCTTTGACCACTATATCTAAAACAGGCCAGACAGGAACCCTCCTGATACATACCTATGCCCTTCACACATTCCACGCCAGTCACCTTGTCACCACCCAGCGTCACAAAAGACTCAAAAACATTGTACAAGACCTAAGGGTACAGAAGACAGGAACATATCTGATCAGCCCTGCATCTACACTGATCCCTCCCTGTTTAGCGCCCCCTCTTTTTTGGATTTGGGCCCCAGAGTTGACACCTGAAACAACTAAAAACACTTTTAAAGCCAGCTCAAGGTGACAATGGTCAACAGGAAAAGATCAGAGGAACCAGCAAGTAGGATGTGCAGGTGAGGGGGTGTCCCAGATCCAAGGAAATAGGCCCAATCTCTGACTCTTATTCTGTGCGCTTGCAGACATATTCAAGGAACACTGAAAAAGCATGAATCATGAGGGCAGGAGGTAACCCTTAGTCCACAGGAGGCTTCAGGGCCACTGTGGCTCAGGAAGACTGAAAGCTATTTTCTGAGTTTCAGACTCGGTCTCAAATGGGCCATTAGAGCCTCCCGCACATACAGAAACCTGTTACAGTGCACCCTTCAAGAGAGAATAAGACATGGGAAATTTCTTAGGTACCACAGGCAATTTCAGAAGGCAGAAGAAACCAGACACACTTCCTCAGGTATCAGCTAAGTGTTCGGGCCCATCCTTACCAGTTAACCTCTCACCCCCTCCCACAGACCTGTAGTCCATCTGGGGACAGGTTTTGAAATTTCCATAGAGCTGCACTGAAGCAGCAGCAATGTTTATGTTTCATGAACCTGCTTCTTGTTGCCAGGGTGAACACAACTTCATCCTTGTGGAGACCTTATGCTTTCTCCACTGCATGGGTCTAAGAAACCTCAGATTCTATCAGGGGGTTCTTGACTCACTGAAGGAGCTGAATGTGTTTCTTCCACTTAATGTTGTGTCCTGACCACAAAACCTCAGAATGCAGCTGCTTGATAGGAAGTCTTCAAAGAAGCAGCTAAGGTTAAATGAGAACAATAGAGTAGATCCTGTTGTATAAGAAGAGTGCAGGATACAGACACACACAGAAGATGACCATGTAAGGACGGGAGAAGATGGCATCTGCAGGCCAGAGAAAGAGACCTCCAGAGCCAACTGCCATGCTTGGTTCTCAGCCTCCAATCTTGAGCATTAAAACAATAAATCCTCACTGTTTAAGCCCCAGCTTCTGTGGTATTTTGTTATTGGTGAGCCCAGCAAATGAATGCAATTCCTGTAAGACTTTGTTGTTTGTTTGTCTATTTCTCAGTAACTAGTGTGTAGTAGCAAGTGTGGGTCCAAAGTTTTAATTCTCTGGGGGATGTAAATATAGGGATTTCAACAGGGCAGAATTACCTCCAAAGGCATGGAATGGGTGGGCCTAAGATTGTGAAAGCAATAAATTGGATGAAGCTGAGTTAGGGAATCAGAAGAAGGTCAGAGTCTGTCCCTCCAATTCATACCCCAAGGCTGCTGCACCAGTGAGCAGGGACAGATGAAGGACACACCCTGCAGGGTGTTGGACATCCTAGGTTGCAAACATGGCTGTAAACAAAGACCGTGTGTAAATAGTATCCCTCTTTCTAGCTTATCTATCTGAGGCATATTGGTACTGCCCACTTGTCAAGGTATCCTAGAACTTCCAAGCAAGTGAACTGTCCTGTAGCTTCCTCAGGGACCCCACCATCACTCACCACAGTCACTGCATCATTTAGCAGTGACTCTCCGAAAACAATGATGAAAAGAACTTCATTGACATGGACTTCCTCAAACACAGCCAGCACAGCCACGGGGTCCACAGCAGCAATGAGGCTACCAAAAAGCAGGAAATCCAGGAGTCCAATCTTCAGGTCACCTGCAACAGACGTGGACCATGGTACAGGGGCTAGCCACCTGGATCACTCTACCAGGTTCCTAGGAGATGAGAGCCATCAGCAATAAAGGGTAGACACAACTCTTCCCAAGGCTACCCAGCAACAAAGAGAACCTCAGACTGGAGCTTGCAGCCAGACATCCCAAGAATGTGTAAGGCTGCATAGTTCCTATGTTAGTGCTTCACTCTCTTTTTAAAGCTGGGGCAGAACTTGCCATCCCAGGACCAAGGGATGAACCTTGGGAAGTAAGTGCCTCAGGTATTGAGTGTGCCCAAGAAAATAGTAGAGGGCACCAGGACAGAGTGCCCTCTGCAGTGGCTTGAATCCCATATGTCTGTGACCACTAAATTCTGCTGCTTCTAACAAGGAACAGAGCCTTCTGGAGTTTCCATCTAGAAATGGACCACACACTTGACTGCCACACCATATATGCCCTGCCCAGCTTCCAGAGCAAACTAGTTTCAAGCCACCCTAGCAGGGCCAGACTCTTGTTCTAGAATCTTGACAGAAACAGAGTACATTCCAAAAACAAGCTGGATCCCAGCAGATGTACAGTTCACTAAATCAGGACTGGCCCTCCCGCCTGGACAGTGCACCCATATTTGCCTTGTGCCTGGAACTGATAAGCTACAAGACAGCTATCTTAAGTTGACTCTCCCAGTAAAGATGAGTGAACCCTAACCTTGAGCTACAGACTACAGAGACTGACCACTGCCTAGGCAAATCTGGGTATACCATCAGCCAAAGTCACAGAGGAAAGGGAGTTCATGGGATCAGTATGATCTTTCTTGGTCAGCCTTGACCAGCTAGTTCCCAAAGGTGGAACACAGGCCAACATCATTTGTCTATCTGTAGGCAGTGATGTACAACAATGCTAGTTATTAAAAGACACTGTGGTATAACAATTTTTCATGGCTGTGGCCTGCTAGAAAGATGGGCCTGGATGTCCCGGGAGAGTAAAATGCTCTAGATTTTGGTGACCATGCAATTTCTGGTGTAAGCATATTTGCAAAGACTCAACTATTTAAAGGCCTGTGCTTACACCATAAGTCAGTCTGTTAGAGGCTTCTCTATGCACCCTAACAACAGCTCCAGGAGCATCACATGCTGGGATCTTATGAGTGACAAGACTGTCGGGTGAGAGCCCGCATGACCCTTGAAGGGCTATGGGTATTAGATTCCAGAAGTCCCTGCTCCATATGCCAACTATAACAGGAGTAAGAACAGTTGCCTATACACACCCAAGACATCGCTCCAGGGCAGAGGCAGTCAGCCATCTTAGATGTGTCCCATCACCTATGGTATCACCAGTGTGACCAGTAGCACCCCCTCCAGAGCAGGATGCCTATAGTTTTATAAGCCAGGCAGGTCCTTACCATTGGGGTCTCTAGTGATGCAGGAACTCAAGGGAACTCCCCAAAATGATAAGATCCCAAGCAATTGATAGTTCCTGGGTTTACTGGTCCCTGCTTCTCCTTGGTCTCTAGGATTTCAAGGGCCTCATTCACTCACTGAATGTGCCAAAGGGAAAGTCCTGACTCTGAGTCCTCCTGTGAACACCTGCTCACATCTGCGCAGGCATCACCTGCTGCCTCTCAACTGGACAAAGATTCAGCTCAGAGGGTGGAATGTTCCTGGGAGGTAGCCAAGGCTAAGTGAAGTAATCACTAGCAGATTTGAGCAGAAACAGCACAAACCACTCAAGACTTTGGGGTGCTCAACTCTGTAATTCACTTATGGGGCTAGGAGCTATCCATTTTTTCATCTCCTTCTTCCATGGGGGTTGAACAGCTGGTTCACACCACACTGCCAACTATGACTGGAGACAGCTGGTTCACACCACACTGCCAACTATGGCAGGAGTAAGAACAGCGGCCTATACACACCTACCCATCCTGCTGCTCCGTGTGGTCACAAATCTGTGCTGAACATAACAAAACAGCCTCAGTTTGCAAACTTCCCAAAGAAGCATATTATAGACTTCTTTCAAATACCAGGCTATTTACTTAAGTAGTCCCCAGAGATACTGCCCATCATCCTTAGCCCTAACCCTTCTACAACTATGATCTGGACCCTTAGCTCAACAAAGTGACTTGGACTCACCCAGAGGGCAATATATAGACTTACCCATGATGCCACTGAGGTAAACACCATAGAGGGACAATCCTGTGGTGGCTGCATTCCATATAGTGCCAATAACAGCATATAGCAGAATGGTGCCCAGGTTGCCAAAGAAGAGTCGATTGGGCATGAAATATCCAGCGTCCAATACGATGGGGGGCAGCAGGTAGAAGAAGAAGAGCGTGGGTGTGAGTGTGAAGGACGCAATGTGGTCAGCTGCCCAGACGATGCCGCCCAGCACCAGGCCCAAAACGATGAGCAGAGCACTCTCAGGGACGATACTGGTGACCTTATGGGACAGGTGAAAGACTGTAGGAAGGAAAGAGAGTCAGGGATATCAGAGTCTATAAGGGACCACAATGACAAGGAGTAGAACTGGAGACAAGGTCCCCCAGAGGAATGGGAGGAATTGGGGGGGCAGACCCCTTACTAGCAAGGCATGTATGAGATCAAGGTAGTCACTGGTTTCTTGCAAGTTTGAAAATTGGGAAGTCAACTAGTTTCCACTTGGGGTTTTGAAGACCCTTGCTGTAGGACCCGCTATCAATGGTTCTCAGTCTGTGGGCCACAACCGTCCAAACCATTGGAAATCACGGATATTTACATTGCAGTTCACAACAGTAGCAAAATTATAGTTATGAAGTAGCAACAACAATAATTTTATGGTCGTGGTCACCACAACATGAGAAACTGTATTAAAGGGTCACAGTATTAGGAAGGTTGAGAACCACTGCACTAGATGGATCTCTTCCTAGGTGCCTACAATAATGTAGAGCTCTTCCGTCCCCCCAGCCACCCACGATTGATGGTGATAAGCAAGTCCTTCTGAAGACGAATTGTTCCCACCCATGGCTGGAACACATGGACAGAGCCAAGAGCTGGATAGAGGCCACACCAGCCAGTGTCTCTACCTTATGGAATCCCCATGTTCACACGAGGGTGACAAAGTATGTTCACCAGATGACAGAAACTCCCACCCCATGACAGACTCCACAGGTAGAAGCTACATAGCAATTGAGAGGGAGTGGCCTAAGTTGGGCAGATGGACATCCCTTGCTTCCCAGGTAGGTGCCCTCCACCCCAATTTGATTTGGATGTTCCTGAGGTTAAACCTGTTTCACTGCAGTCACCTTTAGGAAACCCAAGCTCCTCATGTGCCCCATGACTCATTTGGGGTCACAGCCATTTAAGAGTAGTAGCTCCTATAGCAAGGGTCTCCAGAAACCCAGGAAGAAAGACCACCCCTCTCCAACCCCTCAGGCCTCTCAGACTCCTCAGCCATCATCAACCCAGCTAGAGCTTGACAGATGCTCAGCTCTGCCCTGTAAAGAAGCACAGACATTTGGTCATGGATCTTGTGTCTGATTTGCACTCAAAAGAAGGGTAATCATAATTTCTATGCTAAACCTGAATTGAACACAATTGGAATGATGACAGACAGGGCTTCCTCCTTTGGCTTAAACAATGTTTTATACAATTGAATTCATTCACTGAGGCTGTTACACGTTGATGATATCTCTGAAATTTAAAAAAAAGAGGAATACTGAGGTTCCTTAAGAGGTGAGTGAACAGTCATGCGGTGGGACACCCCACTCTCTAGGACCTCCCCAGTGGGACAAAACCCCAGACCCCTCCCCCAGCTCCTCTGCTTTTCTAGCCAGCCATCAGGGAATTTCCTGCAGGTAGACTCCCCCAGAACCCAACCCCATCCACTGCACCCTCCAAGCTACTAGCCACACCCTGCCTAAGAGCTGAGAGCTTGCTACAGTACTGAGGGGACCAAGAGAGAAGACCAAGAGAGCAGGCTTATGGAGACCTCGGAGGCATTCTGAGACAGACATTGACAGTACAAAGCAGACCAAGAAAAACTCCTAAACACTCAGACAGCCACCGCAAGGATTGGACCAAAACACAAAAACACTGCCGGCCTCATTTGAAGGATGAGATGTGTAGGCACCAATGCAAGAATTCCTCCAACAACCTAAAAAACAACATGGTAACACCAGAACCCAGTAGTCACACAACAGGAAGACTTGATCATCCTAACCCAGAAGGAGCAGAAGAAAACAACTTTAAATGTAACTTTATGAAAATGATGAAGACCTTTAAAGAGGAAATGAAAAACTCCCTTAAAGAAATGGAGGAAAAGACAAACAAAAAATTGGAAGAAATTAATAAATCTCTCAAAGAAACCCAAGAAAAAGCAATCAAACAGGTGAAGCAAACAATTCAAAGTAATAAAGAAAACACAAGCTGAGGATATTCTGAATATAAAAAATCTGGGTAAATGAACAGGAACTTCAGAGACAAGTATAACTAACAGAATACAAGAGATAGAAGAATGAATCTCAGGTGTTGAAGATACTATAGAGGAAATAGACTCATTGGTCAAAGAAAACATTAAATCAAACAAATTCTTAACACAAAACATCCAGGAAATCTGGGACACCATAAAAAGACCAAACCTAAGAATAATAGGTATAGAAGAATGAGAACTCCAGCTCAAAAGCACAGAAAATATATTCAACAAAATCATAGAAAAAAACTTTCCCAACCTAAAGAAGGATACCCCTATGAAGGTATAAGAAGCTTACAGAACACCAAATAGACTGTATCAAAAAAAGTTCCCTCACCATATAATAATAAAAACACAAAACATACAGAATAAAGAAAGAATATTAAGAGCTGCACAGGAAAAAGGTCAAGTAACATATAAAGGTAAACCTATCAGAATTACACCCAACTTCTCAATGGAAACATGAAAGCCAGAAGGTCCTGGATAGATGTGTTTCAGACACTAAGAGACCATGGATGCAAGCCAAGACTACTATACCCATCAAAGCTTTCAATCACCATCGATGGAGAAAACAAGATATTCCATGACAAAAACAGATTTAAACAATATGTATCCACAAACCCAGCCTTACAAAAAATACTAGAAGGAAAACCCCAACCCAAGGAAGCTAACTGCACCCACAAAACACAGGCAACTGATACCCTCCCCATCAGCATAGCCCAAAGAAGGGAAACACACAAACACTACTAATAAAAAATAATCAGAATTAACAACCACTGGTCATTAATATTGCTTAATATCAATGAACTCAATTCACCTATAAAAAGACACAGGCTAAGAGAATGGATATAAAAACAGGATCCAACCTTCTGCTGTATACAAGAAACACACCTCAACCTCAGATAGACACTACCTCAGAGTAAAGAGTTGGGAAAAGGTTTTCCAATCAAATGGACCTAAGAAACAAGTAGGTGTAACTATCCTAATATCTAACAAAATAGATTTCAAACTAAAATCAATCAGAAAAGATGTAGAAGGACATTTTATACTCATAACAGGGACAATCCATCAAGATGTAGTCTCAATCCTGAACATCTATGTCCCTACTACAAGAGCACCCACATCTATAAAAGAAACATTATTAAAACTTAAATTGCACATTCAACCCACACACTAAAAGTATGAGACTTCAACACTCCACTCACACCAATGGACAGGTCAACCAGACAGAAACTTAACAGAGAAATAAGAGAACTAACAGAAGCCATGAATCAAATGGACTTAACAGACATCTATAGAACATTCCACCCAAACACAAAACAATATACCTTCTTATCAGCACCTCATGGAACCTTCCCTAAAATTGATCACATACTCGGTAGCAAAGCAAACCTTCACAGATACAAAATTTGGAGTAACCCCCTGTGTCTTATCGGATCACCAGGGATTAAAGTTAGAATTTAACAACAAGACTACTCTCAGAAAGCCTACAAACTAATGGAAATTGAACAGTGAACTACTGAACCACCCCTGGATCAAGGAATAAATAAAGAAAAAAATTAAAGACTTCCTAGAATTCAATGAAAATGAAGGCACAACATATACAAACCTATGGGACACTATGAAAGCAGTGCTAAGAGAAAAGTTCATAGCACTAAGTGCCCACATAAAGAAAATGAGAAAGCTCACATTAGTGACTTAACAGCACACCTGAAAGCTCTAGAACAAAAAGAAGCAGACTCACCCAGGAGGAGTAGAAGACTGGAAACAATCAAACTGAGGCTGAAATCAACAAAATAGAAATAAAGAAAAAATACAAAGAATCAATGAAACAAAGAGCTGGTTCTTTGAGAAAGTCAACAAGATTGACAAACCCCTATCTAAACTAATCAAAAGACAGAGAGAGAGAACATCCAAATTAACAAAATTAGAAATGAAAAGGGGGACATAACAACAGACACTGAGGAAATTCAGAGAATCATTGGGTCATACTACAAAATCTTGTACTCCACAAAATTAGAAAATGTAAAATAAAATGAACAATTTTTAGGTAGATACTGTATATCAAAATTAAATCAAGACAAGGTGAGCAATTTAAATAGACCTATAAACTGCAAGGAAATAGAAGCTATCATCAAAAACCTTCCAAACAAAAAAAGCCCAGGGCCAGATGGTTTTAGTGCAGAGTTCTACCAGAACTTTCAAGAAGAGCTAATACCTATACTTCTCAAAGTGTTCCACTTTGAGGAACATTGCCAAACTCTTTTTATGAGGCTACAGTTATCCTGATACAAAACCACACAAAGACTAAACTAAGAGAGAAAATTACAGACCAATCTCACTCATGAACATGGATGCAAAAATACTCAATAAAATACTGGCAAACCAAATCCAAGAACACATCAAAAAAAATCATCCACCATTTCAAAGCGATTCCACTAAAATCAGGAACAAGATAAGATTGTCTACTCTCTTCATATCTCTTCAACATAGTGCTTCAAGTTCTAGCAATAGCAATAAGACAGCAAAAGGAGATCAAGGGGATTTAAATTGGAAAGAAAGAAGTCAAACTTTCGTTATTTGTAGATGATATAATAGTGTACATAAGTGACCCCAAAAAATCTACCAAAGAACTCCTACAGTTGATAAATACCTTCAGTAATGTGGCAGGATACAAGATCAACAAAAGCAAACAAACAAACAAAAAACAGTAACCCTCCTATGCACAAATGATAAAGAAGCTGAGAGAAAAATCAGAGAAACATCACCTTTTACAATAGCCACAAATAACATAAAATATCATAGGTTAACACTAACCAAAAAAGTGAAAGACCTATTTGATAAGAACTTTAAGTCTTTGAAGAAAGAAACTGAAGAAGATACCAGAAAATGGAAATATCTCCCACACTCTTGGATAGGTAGGCTCAACATAGTATAAATGGCAATCCTACCAAAAGCAATCTATAGATTCAATGCAACCCCCATCAAAATTCCAACACAATTCTTCACAGAC